GGGGTGGGGCAGTAGGCGGAGAGCTACAGGGGGTGGGGCAGTAGGCGGAGAGCTACAGGAGGGCTGGGCAGCGAACTACAAGCCGTGGAGAGCTATGAGTGACGGTGAGCAGGGCGGCCAGCTGAGGCAAGCAGCAGCTAGCTACTCACGCACGGATTCGTGCGCAGGTCCACTAGTTGTGTGTGTGTGTGTGTGTGTATGTGTATATATATTTAATCCTCACCTGAGGATATTTTTCCATTGATTTTTAGAGAGTGGAAGAGAGAGGGAAAGACAGAGAAACATCAATGTGAGAGAAACACATCAATTGGTTGCTTCCTGCATGAGCCCCAACCAGGGTCCGGTCCGGGGAGTAGCCTGCAACTGAGGTACACGCTCTTGACTGGAATCAAAGCCGGGACCCTTCAGTGCACAGACCGACGCTCTATCCACTGAGCCAAAGCCTTCAGTGCACAGACCAACGCTCTATCCACTGAGCCAAACCAGTTAGGGACAGGTCTGCCTGTATTCACTGGCATGTATCAATGTTCAGGTGTTAAATGATAATTTACAAGACAGTACCTAATCTCATTTTTGCATATGTATGTGTTAATAACAACATAAAACATTCACATTATGAGAAATTTTGCCAATTATTCACTGTGATCATTTTATGTAATTAAGATCTAAAATGTTAAGTGTTGGTATGACAAGAATGTAGTGTGGGGAAGACAGAAGGTGCAATACTTTTTAAAGATGGGAATTTGAAGCAAAGAGAATTTAAATCGCCACCTAGATGAACTATAGCCTGGGTGACAGGAGTGGAAGCGCGGTTCAGGATGAAGCCGTGGCAGCCAAGGCAGGCCTTACCTCGTACACCTCGTTCCACTTTGGACTCAGGTTCTCTTTGATGACCTTGCTTTGGAAGATCTGATTGCCGACTCGAATCACTCCATAGGGGTCTGACTTTCCCTTGACAAGTCCCTTCAGGTAAGTGTCCTTCCCCTGGAGGTCCTGAGCTTCAATGAAATGCACCCTTAGAACACCCTGCAAAAGACAAGAGTGCCACCGCTCTCTGGGTCATCCCAGACAGGACACGGCTGGTGCTGGCCGTCCGTTCCAGGAGCGCAGCGCGGAGCTGACAGCCATGTGAAATGTCGGGAAGATGGAGCAGGCAGGACAGAGGATCCGGTGGGACCCCTCAGACAAGAGGCCAGTGATGGGGGGAGTGGGTGAGCGACTTCTGAGAGGCCCCGAGGGACACTGCGCTCCGGACCCGAGCGGGGTCAGAGCACTCAGATCAAACAGGCCTCGTGGGCCACAGGACAGTCCTGCTTTGACTCCACATAAGTGACACTTCGTTACAGGAGGTCGGACCTGTGCCCAAGCTGTGATGTGCAGATTACTTTGTCCTGTCTTTAGAACAACCCTATGAAATGCTGTCATTAACCCTATTTGTAGACAGGAAACGGAAACTCTGCAATACACACTATTCACAGACTCTTTTCCTAAAATGTTTAATTGATAAAATGAAATATTCACTCATTTCTTTCAAGGCAAACCAAGATGGGAAGGTCACCTTTTGGTAGGGCAGCCTTTCCCCAAGAGCCCTCTGCAGAACATGCTGGGCCATATTCCTGGCCGTCAGCACAGGAAGGCATGCGTTTTTATCTTCTACCGTGCTCCTCATTACCTCTCAGACTGAGAGGAAGCCGTCCCCATCACTGAGACGAAGCTGTTAGGATCTGTCAGTACAGACAGGATGGCTGGCTGAGATCACAATAGGTGCCATAGTTCCCAGCTGAGGTCGAGCTGCACACTGGCCACGTCCTACGGAGTGTGCGACAAGCAACCTATCGCACCACGATCCGCGTGCCAGGGGCTGTGAGGAGGAAGTGCGGAGTGGCGGGAGGGTACGTCTATGTGTAAGTGGTAACGGAGGCCAGGACACGCTTACCTTTGGTATCGGAAACCGCAACTGGGCTATTTGAACTTCGCTGACGAGAGGAACAGTGATTCGATTGGGAAGCACCAGATAGTTTGATATTATATCCAAAATGATGGTATCTGATAAACCGCTGTGAGGTGGAGGAAAAAGAACAGACGTTATCAGACACTTCCATGCTCGTTAGCGCCTTCTGCAGTAAACACACCACAAACGTGATACAACAACCCCCCCATTTACAGGGTAGGCGCGGTCTCTTCCCCAAAACACGTTTAAAACCAGCAGGTCAGTCCATTAGCTGCGGTGCTACCACCGTGCCGGTTATGGAGGGTTTATTCTGAGGACAGAAGGCAGCATCTGGCTACATTTTGTAAGTCCTAAATAACATTTCCTACATAATTCTATCATTGATTTAATACTGAGTAACTAATATGTTTCCTTAAATTTCTTTAACATAAAATATTTCAAACATCCATAAAAGTTAAGAGAATACTATAATATCTTTTTACTACATCTATGTTTATTACATTAAGTTTCTCTTATAATATACTAGAGGCCCAGTGCATGAAATTTGTGTGCAGGTATGGCCCCTAGGCCTGGCCTGCAATCAGGGCCATCTTCCCCAGCTGCCCGCAGCCAGCCCCATCCCCCGCTGCCACCCACCCCCAGTTCCCATTCGCCATTGGGTGATCGGTGCCTGATGGCTGGGGGAAGGCACCAAGAGGTCGGCTGTTCTCGCCTGCTCACCGGCTCCACCCCCGCAGCAGGTGGCCATGAGGCAATAGGAGCCTGCAGGCCAGGGGAAGGGACCAAGAGGGGTAGGGTCAGTGTGCCTCATAGTGACTGGTCCAGCGGTCATTCTGCTGTTAGGGTCAATTTGCATATTACCCTGTTATTATATAGGATAGAGCAGTGGTCGGCAAACTGTGGCTCGCAAGCCACATGCAGCTCTTTGGCCCCTTGAGTGTGGCTCTTCCACAAAATACCACGTGCGGGTGCGCATGTACAGTGCGATTGAAACTTCGTGGCCCATGCGCAGAAGTTGGTATTTGGTGGAAGACCCACACTCAAGGGGCCAAAGAGCCGCATGTGGCTCGCGAGCCGC